CAAAAAGGGGGTTATACAATACATCATTTATTATTATTATTATTATTATTATTATTATTATTATTATTATTATATTTTTATCATGCCTTACCCTCGGGAAGTGACCTGTTTTCATGAGAACGTGGCTCTTAGGCAGCTATTGTTCCCCTTCCCCTTGGCAGGTGTTAGATTAAGGAGCTGGTGTCATCCTCCTTATTTTAACGCATATCAGTAAAAATACAGATAAGAGTAATAAACAATAACAAAGATGCAATCTCCAAAGCTAACTTTGAAAAGTATGCATATATGAAGGAACATAGATTGCCTCAGCTGGCTACATAACCTTGCTATGCAGGTATTTCTCATATATGCAAAGGGAAAACCGGTCCCTGCCACTAACTCCTCGCCAGTCTCACAATTGTTCGCTCTGTTTTCCCCATCCAAAGCAACTATCTTGGTCTTTGATATATTTTTGTTGCATCGCACAATCTGACACTCACTGCATATAATTCAGGTTCTCAGCCAGCAACATTCACCTCCCCAAGAACACGCATCTAATGCCACCACAAGCATTTTTATCCATTAATCTACAAATGCATTAATCAATCAAGGGGACATCATACATCCTTGCCTTACTCCTTGCTTTTTTCTCTCCCTCCCCGCCCCATAACCTTATCAATAAATGATGCATTGTTTGGGGGTTTTAGAAGATAACTTCATATGTTGCATCCAAAGAACTTAAGAAGAGCTGGATCAGATCCAAAGGCACACCCATCCAATTCACATCCCACAGCACGTGTAAGTGGTGTGCTGCTGTAAGTAACCGAAGAGACCAAGATTCAAATCTCCACTGGAAATATAGTATTAAATGGGATGATTTGGGCCAAGTTACTGCTTAACTCACAGGGTGGTAGTTAGAATAAAAGGAGGAGACACACTCAAGAGCACTTGGGGCTTTTTGAATTGATGTAAATGCAGTTAACATTCTTCATCTTCTTGGACCCCCCTTTTCCTCTTTTTTAGTAATGTTTTTAAATTTTGACATTTTATGTATTTATATGTATTTATGGTTTTAATGTTTTGTGTGAGTCGCCCAGGGTCCCCCATTAAGGGGAGATGGGTGGGGGAGAAATTTAATAAATAACAACAATCACCAACACCAACAGGCATTCTTATGATACTGGAGGCCATTAATAGCTGTACCCTGTGTTAATATAGCCACTTCCTTTATAAAGTTATCTAAAGTGATGGCTGTCACTGTAAGATGTTCCTGAACATTCCACCGTTCGTCTTCACTGAATCACCCACCTGTCATCTTGTGTAATTTTGTACGCTTCTAACCTGTCCTAACAGACTATTTATTTATCAAATTTGCATGACTCCTGACAACGTGGGCAGCTTGCAACTACTAAAACAAGGCAGCTGTCTTTTCCAGCTCTCTGGTGCCTGTTTTAATGGTACAATAAGTTTTAAAGGTGCTGCAGGACTCTTTTTGCAATGAAACGTGGGTATAATATTTGCCACATGACTGCAAGGGCAGCCTTAACCTGCCCCTGCTGTAATTAGCCACACTAATGAAAATCTGCTAAATTTCACGCTGTAGCTGTTTTGCTAAGGAAATGTGAGAATTCAAGAAAATGGAATACAACCAGAAGGAATAATACAGTATTCTCAATGATGCATGAGTGGTGCTAGCAATGATTAGGTGCACTATTATTTATTCAGTTTATTTATTAGACTTACCTGGCCACCAAATTATAAAGCCTCAAGGTAGTTTATTATGCCGCTGATACAATAAGCAAGGAGCATTGGAGCCCTGTTCATTTTAATTATTCAGAGTTTTCCTTTGCTTTCCATTAAATTAGTTTGGGTATCCTAATGTATCGTAAAAGCAGTAGTTGAAGAACAACAGGCCAGCAATAAAAGTATTTCAATCAAGGGCAGTAAAGCCATCATTAAAAAAATCAGGAGTAATAAATTCTGTTCTGAAAGTGCTAAAGTCTCTCCAAGGAAGCAAGCATTGTGCTGTAGCGGGTGGCCCAACCAGGGTAGGGAGTTTCAGAGCATGGGAGTGCTGTTAAGACTGCTCTTTTGCGATAACAGGAGGAGCCATTGCCGTTGTGTGCTTCTTAAAATGGTTTGGGTTTTCTTTTCATTTCTAGGGATGATACGAAGAAGCAGGGGAGCTTTCGGCTGTGAAAGAGAGAGTCCCTGCACTTGAAGGCCGCGGGCAGCCGCAGAGATCCTTCATTTACAGGACGTAACTGCTGAACCGTCACCATGTTGAACAAGCCAGTTCTCATGGAATCGCTGGTCGTGTTTGCCATCGTGCTATGCGTGCACAGCGTGGTCTGGGACCGGTTTTCGTGGTCCACTCTCGTCCTTGCCGTCCAGGCCTTTTACATCCAGTTTAAGTGGGATCACCTCCTCCGCCTGGGCGGGGCAGTGTTCCAGTTCCGGACCACGGCCAACAGCGGCCTCCTGCCCTCCTGCATGGTTATTCCGCTGCTGGGGATCGTGATGAAGGAAAGGTGCCGAGCGACCGGCATTGTGTATTTTGAGCGCTTGGGCCTTATCGTGGCCTCCACGGGCATGATCATCGCCCTCTTTCTCTCAGTGATCGCCTTGGGCGTTACCAGACCAGTGCCAACCAACACCTGCGTGCTTTCCGGGGTCGCTGGTACACTGATCATCTACACAATGAAGCATTCCTTGACTGTCTCCGAAGTAATTGAAGTGCTGGAAGTGTTGCTCATTTTTGTCTACCTCAGCATGATCCTGCTGTACCTCTTACCTCGGTGTTTCACCCCCGGGGAGGCCCTGCTGATCCTCACAGGCCTCAGCTTCATCCTCAATCAGCTCATCAAGCGCTCCCTGAATGTCAGCGAGAACCGAGGGAGTCCTGTGGACTTCTTTCTCCTGGTTGTGGTGGTGGGCGTGGTCCTCCTGGGCCTCTCCTTCGCCGTTCTGTTTTTCTTCATGGATTCCGGGACCTGGATCTCCTCCATGTTTTTCCACATGATGACCGCGGTCCTGAGCCTTGGCGTCATCATGCCTTGGCTCTATCGTCTGATCCGGCGGAATCCTTTGATGTGGCTCTTCCAGTTCCTCTCCCAAACCCGGACCAGAGTTCACCTCCTTGCCTACTGGACGTTCCTGGCCACTTTGGCCTGTGCTGTGGTCCTCTGCCAAAACGTCAAGCGGTCCTCGGGTTCTAAAAAACACCAAGCTTCAACCATCACCCGGAAATACTTCCATTTCCTCGTGGTGGCCACTTACATTCCAGGGCTGATCTACGACCGCCAGCTGCTGTACGTGGCTTCCGTCATCTGCCTGGCTGTCTTCATTCTTCTCGAGTACATCCGCTATTTCACAATCAAGCCCTTCGGACACACGCTCAGGCATTTGCTCTCGCTGTTCTTGGACGAGCGAGACAGCGGGCCTTTGATCTTGACTCACATCTACCTTCTCCTTGGGATGTCCTTCCCAGTGTGGCTGTGGCCGAGACCGTGCGCCCCCAAAGGTACCTTGCCTGGGGCAGGAGCCTTGGCTCCCTACTCGGGGGTTCTGGCCGTGGGCATTGGGGACTCGGTGGCCTCTATCTTTGGGAGCACGGTGGGCGAAGTCAAATGGCCAGGAACCAAGAAAACCTTTGAAGGAACAATGTCAGCCATATTTGCACAAATCATTGCGGTGGCCCTGATTGTGATTTTCGACACTGCTGTGGATCTTAATGCCAGCTATTCATGGATCTTGATCTCTATTACCCTGGTGTCGTTTTTAGAGGCCTACACCACCCAAGTGGACAATTTACTCTTGCCTCTCTACCTCCAGATACTGCTCATGATTTAGGGACCATTTGGGGATAATATTTCTCCTCTGGAGGGTAATCAGATACATCTCTACTACGTTTCATTGGTGTCTTTGCTCAGGGTGGCAAAAAGTGATCGCACGGCACGTCCCTGTAAATGATTGCACGCTCATTATTTAAAACGGAAATATAATGTGGCTGTGCTTTGTGGTCCATTTTTTCACTGCTTCTCCAATATATAGCAAGGGTTTTCAGATTGCGGGTGGCAATCCTCCAAGGTTTTTGGTTTTTTTTTTTAAAGCCAGTTCAAAGAAATTTGTTCAAGGGGTCAAAGGTGCTGGACGGACTCCCCTGGGTGACTCTGGACCAGTCCCTCCCCTCTCACCCCTTGGAAGAAGGAAGCAAGGCAAACCGTGTTTGAAAATGCTGCCAAGAAAATTGCAGGAATTTGCTCAGGCAGTTCCCTAGAAATTAAAAAGGGGGGGGGGGAATCAGGCTGCTGCAGACAAAGCAGAGAATAAAGCCTGAAATGATTTGAGGGAGGTGGCTACATCTGTGTTATGGCTCAACACAGGATGGGATAAACTTTAATTTTTCCGACCTCCTGGAGAGCATGATCAGGGTTATGACATCAGCAAAGTGGGGCATTTTTTAAACTCTTTAGGCTATAAGAGGCTATAAGAAGCAAAATGGGAGCAATGTCTCTCAAACATCGCAACTTGAAGATGGGTGGACTTCAACTCCCAGAATTCCCCAGCCAACCTGGCTGTCTGGGGAATTCTGGGAGTTGAAGTCCACCCATCTTAAAGTTGCTAAGGTTGAGAAACACTGCATTAGAGGTTTAAGGCACCCATTTTGCCCATCAACCCTCCCCAAATGCCCCCTCAAACCAAACACAGCCTCACCTATTCCAAGGATGCTGGGGACCATAAAGAGGGGGCTTGGGGGCCCTTTCCTCCAAACTGCAAACTCAGACCATCTTCTCATAGGCAAAACCAGAAATTACAGGAAAATCAAAGATATCTCTAGGAGGGTGATATATAAATTCATTCCGTGCTGCTGGATTATAACATATTCTTACAAAAGTGCAGTCCACAGTGGGTACGTAATCAAAATTCCAGTCCATATTTGATTTCGTTTCTATCTTGCCTTTCCTGTCCCAAGCCAGAAGCAGTGCTGGTTCCCCGCATGCCTCCTTTCTCTTCACAACATCCCTGTGAGGGTCACCGCTGAACAAAAACTAGAGAGCAATTTTCCCCAGTCAGGATCCGATGTTCTTAATCCCACAGCACACCGTTTTTTTAATGCCAGGCTCTCGCTCCCAAATGGACTCGGCAGATTCAGAGGTGGTATGAAAGTGGAAGCAGAAATTCCCCCGCTACGAACGTGATCTGAGGACCAGCACCAGCCCTCACCGGTCCCCGAATAGTGCGGGGATCCCAAAGCAGAGGCTCTGGATTTTAGCTACACGTGTACAGAGACGGGAAAGGCAACTCCAGAGTTGGTTGGAGCCTGAAATCCGTGAGAAAACCTGTTAAGTGGGTCTGCAAAAAATGCATTTTATAGTAAGAGACCAGCTGCCCACGCCTTCCCTAAATTGCTTTCCTCCAGCTGCGTTGGGAGGGTAACTTCTAGCATTTCCAGCTGTGCTGGCTGGAATTCTGCAAGTTGGAATTCCAAAACAGCTGGGGGGTGGCTGGGTCAAGCTGCAATTGCACCCCTCCCAGAGCCACAAACCACAGTGTCCGGGTTCAAAGCCATCACACACTTTGCTTCCTTGAGGGACAACAGTTCCCATCTGTCTCTTTCCACCTACCAGTTCTCAGGGCTCCAAACAGCATCCTTGTCCTCCATCAGATGGAAGGTGTAGACCTCGCGGGACTCTTCAGAATAGTTGGCTTCACTTTTGTGCACCACCTCGCCGTGGATAAGTACTAAGCCCCCTGGTTTGCCATTAAAAAAGCGAAATGCACCATCTCACTGGAAGTGCCAAACATTTGAGAGTTCATTTCTTCTAGCTCGGATTCTAACCCAGCCTGTCCTGCACTTCTGCAGATTTGCTACCTGCAAACGATGATGTTGTGTTCGCCCACTTTTTCTTGCAATTCCGCTTTCCAGAGGCCCTCCTATATTTGTGCTAGCCTTGCATTTTTGCATTTGCAAAGGAATTGCTCTATTAAAACACGGGCATGTTTTGGTGGTTTATTTTCCAAGAGATGCCCTGAAAAAACCTACCAGAAAAATCAGAGTTGTAGCCCGTGGTGGAGGAGCAAAGGCCCAGAACCCCTTGTTTGCAGTCTGACAGCCCTTTCCACCCACAGCCGCTGAAAAAAGAAGCTTTACTTTTTTTTTCTTTTTAGAAAGACAAAATCCCGCCTCGCCCAGTTGGCATCGTTCTTAGCGTTGCCCTTCTGTTCATTGTCATCCTCTGAATAAGTAAATGAGTAGACGAGTAAATGAGTCTTAACTTATGCACAAATCGATCCGCTAAAAGACTGCTAAAACCGCAGCGTTTGCAGCTGCACCGTAAAAGAAAAATGAGAGTGAGAAAGAAAAAGAAGATAGGATTTTTTAAAATTATTTTTTTTAAAAAAGGGGAAATTAAAAAAAGGAAATAGGAGGAGGAAGGAGTATTAGGGATGTTCACCGCCTTGAGTATATATTATAAAAATAATAAAGGCGGGATAAAAAAATAATTAACGCAGCTCTCTTTTTTTTTCTTTTTTTGCAAAAAAGCAACTGAGCACTGAAGAAGCCAGCGCCTAATTTTACAAGAAGAAGCCTCACGTTTTTCAGAGCTGTCAAAATTAGGTAGACCCTTCCAGCAGCCATAAATGGCTGTCTGTAAAAGCTAGTTCGGTCCTTCCAAAGTGTATTTATTTATTAGAAACATACACTGCTTTTTCCAGCAGGGGTCAGCGCAGGGCTGATTTTGGCTGATCTAGGAAAAAACCAGGTCAGAGCTGAGTAGGGCTTGGATGGGAGACCACCCTGAAATTGTGCAAGTGGGCTAGGGTGGGAAATGGAAACCATTTCTTGGAAGGAGCCGGGATGTGTGTGAAGTCATTCATCGAGCTTGACTCAGTGATAGCTTTGCTTCTCCTGTAGAGTATTTCCAAGTTTGCGAGCGACTTTCAAAACAAACATAAAACAAGGATAAATATACTTTAAACTAGCTGATCTCTAATAATTATTTTGTTTCATCCATTCAATGTCGGGAAAGGCCTGGATTTAAAACAGCGGGGTCTAAATCCGTGTTTCTCAACCTTGGCAAGTTTAAGATGTGTGGACTTCAACTCCACACGTCTTAAAGCTGCCGAGGTTGAGAAACACTGGCCTAAATGATGGAATTGTAGGCGCCCCTCATATATCAGGTTGAAATTTGGAACGTGCGCCCCAATCCTGCACCCCAGATTACAGGGAAAGAGAAACAATTTCCCTTCCACGTTTCTTCTGGAGTTGTGGTGTATCCCGCTTGGGTTTCTCATCGGTGTAATCCTACCTTTGCCCACGGGCACAGGGACAAACCGGCAGTCGTCATATGCTTGCTCCGTGCCGACAAAATCGATGCAAGGGATCGTCCCAGGAGGAGTTCGGACCATCCGTCGCGTGATGCCAGCTGGAAGGCAGATCAGGAGGGTGAGCTTTGCAGGCTCCCTTTGATTTTATTAATGAATGGATTTTATTGATTAAATCAGTATGCCCCCCGACTCCTAGCAACTCTGGGCACTTTTAACCAGGAACCCAACACTTTGGCCCCCCTTGTCCCAAACCCAGGGTTCAAAATCTTGAGCTGCAGGGTTTAATTCTTCCTCCTCACTTTGATTCTGTTAGAGGCAAAAGGGACCCGTGAGGCCATCCAGTCTGACCTATGCAGGAATCCAAACACGTGCGCCCCATACCAACGACTGGGTAGCCTTTGTCTGAACACATCCAGCAAAGGGGAGTCTCCCCCATCCCCAGGTCACTGATTTGACTTAGGAGTTTTTAGACTTGACACTGAAATCCACGATTCTGTGTCCTGAACTCTGGAAACAGAAAGACCAAGCCCTGACCTTCTTCTGTGTTAAGTCCTTTCGAAAATTTGAGGAACGTTATCATACCCTTCTTGGTCCTCTCTCCTCAAGGCACAATGTAAAATTTGGTTTCTAGTCCTCATTGCTCCATTTTTGGAATCTTTCTTTAAATACAGTGCCTGGCATTGGACACACACCTTAAGGAAGGGTCTCACGAATTCAGAGGAAAGTGGAAGTTACTTTCCGTGGTCTAAGCCCCCCAAAATTGCCAGCCTTGGACAAGGCAATTAAACCAAGCAAGGAATTCTACTGAACCTGGTGCTGTCCTGTCACAGCCATCCTTAAAGAGTTATTAGCCTCATTGGCTGTGGATGATGGGAATCAAAAGCATGGTTCACCCACATCAACTCAGCCAGAGAAGTGTTGGCCTGCTCTGTTCTGGTGTGTTGTGCAACCCAGCTTAGTCCACAACCTTTGGCGGAACAAGCCGTGATGGGTGAGCCGGATCACAAGTTAACATCCAGGAGGGAAGTTGGAGAAAGCGGTTGATTGTAATAATCAATATATATCTCCCTCTCTTTCCAAAAAAGTCAGGATAACCAAAGAGAGAAGCAAGAACACGCAGAGACCTTCCATACATCTTACTTGTGTGCGAGCCGGGAACAAACCACAAACAGCCATTCTCTTGCGTGACGTTCTCCAGAGCGATCCAGAGACCCATAACTTTGCCCAAAGGTTTTGTGTGCAAAAAAGTGGCATCTTGGTGGGGGGTCACTGAAAGGAACAGAGAAGACATGTTAAGGGGCAATGCATTCAACCCTAATTGGCTGTTGCACCCCTGGCAGATCATGGTTTGTCAGTGCCAACAGCTGGGTTCAGACAAACCACAATTCTATATCTTCTCCATAAGCCACTCAGAGTCCTTTCAGATTGCAATCGGGAAGAAAACTGATTAATAAACAGCCAGACCACATTGACAGCTTACTAATTCAGATGCAATGCTAATTAATGATTACTCTAATAGTAACTTTGACCGAATTGGGTGTTAGTGTCGTTAGTTTATGAAATACCCCACAATTTTCTATGCTGCCAAGCGATATGTACCATCCCTGCTGGCCAACCTGGTTTGTGCGGATTCCCTCCAGATCTAGTTTGGCATGCCCTGACAAACCGTGGCCTGTTCAATTACAACGAACCATGATTTCAGCCATCATCCTGAGGTTCTTGAATTTAAAATGCACCATTGGCTCAGTGGTTTATGCTGTTTAGATGAAGAAGATGGAGAGAGATGGGGTCCCTTAACTGTAGATCATGACTGATCTCTGTTACATGTGAAAGAGGCCACTGACACCTTTATGATTAAAATAAACCCTAGGTGAGTGCGATCCACAAACCTAAACCGTTGGTCTTTCATGGAACCAGGAACCAGGTCTTCCAGATGCCAGTCTAATGCAAGCCCACTTGCCGCACTGGCTTTCGTGGTTACATTATCGTTTCTAACCCATCTCCCGCTTCCCAACTGGGCAACCCAATTGGGTTTAAGTCATTGTGGTCAGAGGGGGGTCCAAAGGCCATGGAAAGATGACTTGAGGACAATACACCAACATAAACCAGAGATGGCCCACCCTGGTTGTATGAACCATCGCTCTGGGTGTCATCCAGGGCAACGTAAACCTTTTCTCTAGAAGCTCACATCTGGTCCAGAGGCAACGGAGAGCTAAGTTCATTTTATTGCTGATTTTTAAAAAGGCCCAAATTAATAAAGAAAACCAGCCAACGCAAGATCTAGGAATATGACTGTATCTCTATCAGGTCCAGGGTTTAACTCCCGCACCTCTTTCTCCTGCCCTGATGTGGACATGGGCTTCCTGCCATTCGTTTCTCAGCCTTGGAGGTTGAAGGCACCGGGGCACCTGTTTTGATCATGGTCTCAGGCTGCTGAATTCTTGCCAGCTACTCTCCTGCCCTTTTTGCTTATCCGCTGCAATTCAAATTCAGCCCTAGATGCCAACAAATTTGACAGGCGGAGAACTGGCAGCGAACACTTCCTAAAAATGAAGCATGACCAGTGTGTTCCTCAGTCCTCCATCCTTTAGGTCAGGGTTAACCAAGGCAGTGCTTCTCAACCTTAGCAACTTTAAGATATGTGGACTTCTACTCCCAGAATTCCACATACCTTAAAATTGCTAAGGTTGAGAACACTACTCCAAGGGGTCAATAAATGGCTGGAGGTCAATAGAAACAGACTGAACCTGGAACAGCGTGCTGATTCACAACTAAAACTCACCAATCTCCACCCAAAATCTCCAAATCTCGACCCTTGTTGACGTTCATCTGATGCACCCTTCCCATGAATATGTCAACAGTTTCAGTAAAAAAGGCGTGTTAAATCTTACATTCTTCATATTTTAAATATTACCTGTTTTTATGGTCATTATGATTATTATCAATTATTATTGCTGTTGAAGTTAGGGTTAGGGTCAGAGTACTATTAATTAATGTCTTATTTATTAAATTATTTTCATATCGTAAATGTTTGGGGGTCGATGAACAATCTGAAGTGCCAGGAAGGGGACAATGAGCTGGGAAGCTTGGGGACCCTGCCTTTAGGGAGATCATCGGATCTCACAGGTCATCTAACCACCTCTCCATTTCATCCCCAAGTCTATGTTACCTGGATGAGGTCAACCTTGGTATACTGGAACCAAACAGGTTTTCAAGAAAAGATTGGACCACCATTGGTCCGAGATGGTATGAGGACTCCTGCCTTGGTCAGGGGGTTAGACTAGAAGACCTCCAGGGTCCCTTCCAACCCTAGGATTCTATGATTCTGTGACTCTATGATTCTATAACTATGATTCTATAATTCTATGACTCTGTAATTCTATGATTCTATGATTCTACAATTCTATGACTATGATTCTATGACTCTATGATTCTATGATTGTACAATTCTATAATTTTATGATTCTACAATTCTACAGCTATGATTCTATGATTCCATGACTATGATTCTATGATTCTACGATTCTACGATTCTATGACTCTATGATAGGAGCCGAGTCCTGTGTTTCAGGATGGCAAACATCTTGCTTTGTGTAAAAGTGCCACGTTGGGCCACCTAGAGAGGGTGGACTTTTCACTCCCTGACGTTTCTTACATGGCTCAGCCACCCAGACGCCTCTACTCGGGAGCTTCGCTCCCCTCCCAGCAAGGGATGTTGGAAGTTGAAATCCAACATCTCTGGGGCAGCACAATGGGAAAAAGGTTACATGAAACCTTGTAGAGTCGGAAACTCACCTTCGCCGCCAATGCCAGCTTGCTGGAAAACAAGGGAAGAAAAAGACCATTGAACCAGAAGGGGACAGACAGTAATGGTTTTTAAAAATTGCATTCATTGCTGTGGGTTCCTGGGTTTGGGGAAGGGGTTGGGCTAGATGGTCTTCAAGGCCCCTTCCAAGCCTTCCACTCTAGGATTCTGGGTGGTGGGGTCCTGCAGTGGGCAGGGGGCTGGACTACAGGATCTCTGAGGTGCCCCCAGCCGTAACCTTTGATGTCACCCAGCTATTTATTTTTTAAGAAGGGCTGGGTTAACCTACCTTGAAGATGTACATGCTTTGCACCACCATGGGGTTCTCAAGGCCCAATTCTCTTGCCAAGGCCTGTGGAATATCCCAGAATTTAAAGGCATCTTAATTTCCTGCACCTTCCCTGGTAGCCTCAGAACATGCTTCCTCCAATGTTTCACACATTAAAGCCGCGTTAAAACTGGCAATGCTTTTTCCCTCTTGCTCAGAGATCAGCTACCAACATCGGTTAAGCGATCAGTTCTTTTAAGCCCGGTTTGTTAATTGCATTCTTTTAACGTGTGTTCAATTGCATGATCGCTGGTCATAAAAAACATCTTTTACTAAAACCGACCCCAGCACGGACGTGATATTTGCAGGCCTCTTGAGCGACTTCACAGGGCTGTTGTGAAGGACGAAATGTGCTGGGAGGCAGAGCCCACCCCAGCCAGGCTTGTGTCGGGGGTCTTATAACCAAAGGAAGGCAGAGACTCCCGGTGTTGGCAAGATTTGGCTGTTCCTGCAACAGCCTTGCAGTGTTGGTCAAGGTTCAGCTCACCTGCACTTTCGCCGCATGGGTCACTTGCTTGAAGACAGGATCGTGGGCGTGCAACGCTAGAAACCATCATCGTCGTCACCCCGATACAAGAATCATTGAGATTAGATTGGCATTGGTTTAACAAACAAACTAACCATCATAGGTCCTGCTTACTAAAATCCATGTCTAAAGAGGGAATTTTAAATAACGGATGGAATCGGGGTGGGTCAGCAAAGGTGGGGTCGAGGAGCCCAGCCGAACTACAATTCCCAGCAGCCCCAGCTAGCATGGCCAGAGATTCAGAACGATGGGAGTGGTAGTCTGACGTAGAAGAGCAGAAGGCTTTCGGGGTCTTTAAGAAAGAAATTGGGGAGGGGGAGGCTCAGGCCCACAGGCGAGTGTCCCCCCTCCCCATTTCTGTCCTTTCAGAGCCCCCCAGCAGTGGCTTTTGAGCTGTGCTGCTGGGGAGTGGCAAAGGGGCTCCGGGACCAAACGCGCCTGTGAGCTGCGTGCAATTTATCTGGCATTAATTTCAGAGGTCATTTAATTCAATTAAACTCAGAGCTCCCTTAAAACAGACTTGGTTTGTATGTGCTCACTTTCTGGTGTGCAGAGACCATTGGGGAAGCTAGAGGGTGGCTTCACAAACTGTCATTCCTGGTTTTTAAGTGTCTGTGCGCACAGGGGTAACATGAACCTCCTGAGCACAGAGAGACAAAGATGCAGAAGCATCAGTGCCCGCAGGCACCACGTTGACTATCCCCGCTGAACAAAGACACCCCCTTCTCAACTATAGCTAAAATCATACCACCCACCCTTAGGTGGTCTTCTAAAAACAGCAGCTAAGCGGTCATTCACCCTGCTAGATGGCAGCACTGAGCCAGTCTCGGCTGACCTCAAAAAGTTAAACCAGTTGGATCTGATTAGAACATGGATGGAGGACCACGAGGAAATCCCATGGCTAAGCTGGAAAGTCGAAAAACATTCTAGAAGAAGGCAATCAGAAACCATGTTTGGACTGTTGCCATGAAAAGAAAAAATTTCTGTAGTGATCAGGGCTTTCCAGAAAAGAAATCTGGGGGAAAATCCCGTCCTGGGAATATTCGCCATCCAGCCGCTGACGGATTTTCTGGGAGGGTCAGTCTGCCCTTTAAAGGAGCCTTTATGTTTTGATATGGGTTTATTCAGAAACAAATTGCACAGAATTCAGCCAAATGGATTGCAGTGCAAACCCACTGAAGGGCTTCAGTACAACATTTCTGTGACTTGATTCGGATAAATATAACCCTCCGTTCCTTTTCAACTTGCATTGTTTCCTTGGGAAATGGATTCCCAAGTAGCCCCTTACTTACCATGACCAATTTTGTTGATAGATTTCTCCTTTGGGACAAGAAAATCCCCTACAAATTAAAAATACTGGATTTAAAAGAAATAAAAAAAACCAAATTGATAGAACGTTAGTGCCAAAGATGCTTTGGGTACAACCGACTGAAACGTCCCAGCAGAAAATCTCTCTTAGGGAGATGGAGTTCAATCCATGATGGCTAAACGTGGCATATTGTGCAAACAAACCCAACTACTGTAGCCAAAAAGCACCGTGGTCTCAAAAAAGTCAAGAAGGCCCCAAATGGTGCATTTGAAGCTCTGCCGTTTTTTAGGTGCACTGCATGTAAAAAGCAGGTGGAGCTTTGATTATATCGTTGTGGCGGCCGTCTTGACTTTTTTACCATACCCTACGGACACCCCTGAACCCAAGAGTAATTTATTCAATAATCCAGGGTTAAAAACATGGTTTAGTGCATGTGTGAACAAGGTCACCAAGCCAGGCTGCTTGTCCGTCCAATCTCCAAACCGTTTGTTCTGGCAGCATCTTTTTCTGGCTGCAAACTATTTTCTCCTGGGCATTTCGATTTCCCAATATCTCAACAGAAGTCCAGGGAGAATCTTCAGGGATCTCTCTTCTGCCAACCTCAGAGCGACTGAGAACAATGAACAAACCATTCAACTCTGAGACACTCCAGGTCCTAAAAAGACAACCAAAATCCCTCGCCCCACCACTTCACACAAACAGGAAAAGAAAATAAATTGGTTGTATTCTTCTCCTTCTCAACTTTACTTTACTTTGAATCTGTTTGGTTATGAGCTTCCCCAAAATCCAAGCAGTCCCTATAAGGAGGAGCTGCAAACCTGTCGAGCCACCATTCTGCTTGAAACATTTGAAGACCCGGAGCTAGGAAGCATGGTATGGCTCGGATGTCTCCAGATGGAGCAGTGGCCTGGCCACAACCTCCAGAATGCCACCGTTTGTTTTTAAGAAAGTCAATTTTATTATAATTTCAAATACAACTCAACAGAGCCAGAACTAAATCTCAAATACAGCTGATACTAAAGGATTCAGGAGGTCGAGAGGGGATCATCGCTATTAAAAATAGCGATTTTTTAGCGATCTCCTCGCTTTTATAGATTTATTACAAAGTTGAATGAGATGAGAGTGAAGAGACACTTCACATATGAAGACCATAAATGCACACACACATTTCACTAAGTCATGTTTGGTTTAATCATGATTTGTTGAAAAAAACACAAGTAGCTGAATCTATGCATCCCCTGTGCTTTAATTGGCAGGGTTCCCACCATTGATTAATCAAAACCAGACAAAATACATTTTGTTTAGTACAAAATCACTGACATGTAAATTCCCACTAACTGTGTTTCTCACGCTCAAGCATGCTCCCATTTAAAGAGAAAAACCATACCTTTTTCATCAAAAACACCTTTTTCAAAAAAGAATCTGATTTTGTCTCCACTGGTGAGAAAATATTCTGTGGAGCCCTGTCAGAAACCAGATCAAAAGATCAATATTAGCCTCAGAATCTCGAGATCTTTGGATTCCCAGTGGTTTGGCCGTGAAACTAAAGCCATTTTGAAATAAAATTGGGTTTTGACACTGACTGATCGATTGCCTTTATTTTTGCACAGAATAAGAACTTTGCGGTTTAGATTATGCCTTTAGCTACGTCAGCCTCCCATTTAACCATGTTCCTGATCGCCACCGGTGACCAGAAATTCCACAGAGGCGAAGAATGGAAAGGAATTGTTTGCTCCAATTCTCTTCTTCCTCTCTGTGGAATTCCAGGCTAGCTATAATAGTTCAGTAAAAGTTATTCAGAAGCCCTGCAAAGTCCTACTAAATAATGTGGATAAACCAGCTTCTCATCCTTGCTTATTCTTAACTCCTTGGTAGGTCAATGGATTAAATAATTATTTAATCATCCTCAGGGGAGGAATTCGGTTTTGTTATTTGATACCCAGTTGCTGTGTTCATGTAGCCCATCAGGCGTTGAGTAAGACTTGAGAATTTATTTACTCCCCATTTATAAGTTTAATAAATGATGATGAAGATGAAGATGATGAAGGTGATGGCGCCACTGGGGTCCGCATAGTGATTTTAAGAAATAAGACTCTGCTGTATTTCTTTGGATCGACTCTCACACGTACCCCTCTAGAAATGTTTGCCATCTTTAATCATCATTTTCAAAATTACACATTTCTATTCCAATACTTCAAAAGCATTTTATTCTTTAATAGAAAGCATTTCATAAAAATCTTTCCATTTTTAAACCCACTCTACCTGCATCTTTTCGTCCAAGAGAGGCCAGCGTGTGAAAAGGAAATGGCATGGTACATGGTGAAAACCATTTTTTTTAAATAAAAAGCACAAAAGAAACAGACTTAAGAAGATATCTGGGGTTGAATCCTGGTTTGTGAATACACTAGAACTGGCTGGTTCACTCAACAGGCTAAACCCAAATCTCTGGTTTACAAACCACCCCAGTTCAAGCAAACAAACCATGTGATGGCTTGATGCAAGTCGTGAACTGAACTGAAATGGACCATCTGAAGTTGCCTACCTGGGCCTGGAGCTGTTCCGTCTCCTTGGTTGAAAACTCGGTTCGGCAGTGGGGTGGCACGTCCATAGAAGCAACAATCTTTCGGATCTGGGCCTTCATTGCGTCACATTCTTCCAGGCTGAAAAACCGTTCAAGGACCAGGAAGCCCTCCTGGTGGAACTAGAGAACAAGGTGAAGAAGACATTAGCGGGAGGTGCAGAAGGTAATCCAGTCCTAACCTGAGATTTCCAAGGCTGAACCTTTGAGTTTGATCCTACTGGAGAACCCCATCCTTGCCCTCCGGTGCACGTGCATTATTGATCTACCCAGTAGGGTAGACTAGAACACCTTTGGGTTCACAAGACATCCAACAGCTTCTTGTAAGACATCATCATCAAAGGAAGTGAGGACGTCTGGCCCATTTCCATCTCTTCCTTTGTCAACGGAGTCGCTAGCATATTGTTTCTCACAGACTGCATGAGAACAAACTTTCCTAGTTAAGGCTTCATGCTTCTCTGCAAAAGATGAAGACAAAAGATCTCAGTTGAGTCTGAACAGAAGGTTGACCCAGTTTTTGTATTCTCCGAGCCATCTGCTGGTCCATGCAAGTTGGGGGTTCAAAGGCCCACCTATCTGGAGGCAGCAGGTAAGGGAAAGATGGAGACGATGATGGGGATCGGCAAGATATGTTCTAAGCTAGTTTTTAACAGTCATCAAGGAGACGGTTTTGGAGAAATCATGTATTTATCTGAAAGGACTGAGAAGGTCCTCCCCAAATTGGATCTACAGAAGGAATAAACTAATATGTTCCTTTGCCACATTCTCAGCAAGTCAAAGATAACCATCCCATTTTAAAAGTCCATTATTTGGGAAGAGCCTCTTCCCAGATTTGAATCTCAGTTTGAATTTTGTTAGCTGCCCAACTCCAATGGACTCAGGGCAGACTCTAGAGAAAACATCAAAACAGATAAAAACATCAAATCAGATAGACTTCCCAGACTAAAATAATCTTACAAACAGCAAAATCAAACAGAATGAAATAGGGGCCCTAGAAAAATAAATAAATCCAGGCTGGGACCACACATGGTTTTTAGGTAAATGAAATGACTGTGTGTTCCTCAACCAGCAAACTACAACTTTTCCAACTACATTAAAACCCACCGGGCTCCTTTGAGGTTGGGTAGGTTGTGCAAAGTTGGGCCAGGCAATTCTGCTTATGATTCGGTGTGTTTGGTGAACACAGAAAATTAATTGAATTGAGTAAACCAGAGGAAATTAAACTTTAACCGTGCAGAAGTACAGCTGCTGTTGTGTTAGTCTTTTTAATGGAGAGATCATCATTTCTACCTTTACTATTTTAAAACAGGCTTTTAGGAATTCCAGAGCTGTAGGAAATGAAATGGAAATTTTAAAAAAATTCTAGGAAACAAGAATACAGGTCGGTCTCAATTTGTGCGCTGAATGAATCCCACGAAATGGTTGCGCGATCGAATTTGCACTCTTCAAAGTGATAGTTCTGTGGGAAATAGGCTAATGGGTTCCAGCTTGATGGAATTAAACAAGGAAAACTTTTAAACATAAACGTTTATATGTATATTAATGACATATTACAACAAAGGGTAAAAAGAATACACTTATAATTTAAATGTATGGTTCACAAAGTCCCAGAGTAGTTAGAGAAAGCAAAAGAAAACCCCAAACTTCTAAATATCACTTCTAAAACAGGTTGCATTTTTGAAGCTGTCAGCTCAACCCAAAGGAAGCATGATTGTTCAAAGTGAGACTTAAAGCCAACTGACGTTCTAATCTGGAAATTCAGTGGAAGAACAGACTAGGAAGTTCTGTTGCAAGCGAGCAAAGTGGTTAGGGCGGCAATGCATCGGCTCTTCTCTGAAACCCGGATATATTTACGGTTTTTCTACCCCTTCGGAGGGCCTGCTTATTTTCATTCAACCCTCAAACGTTGCCGAACAGTTTGCTGGTGCCCTTTATTCTTCCAGCAGAAGGATGGGCTGGAGAAAAGGAGATTAACCGGAATATCAGCTCCCTTCTTGCAAAGAGGGCTTTGATCAGGCGATTTAATCCAACTTGGCAGCGGAGATGAGAGCCGTAACCATTCCCGTTTCCAGCCCAGGAAACTGATGACACCTCTTTTTTAGTTAAAGAGCTGGTGGGTTGCCCTTTATAGAAACTGAGATTATCTTGAGTAGATTTTGGACTTAGTGGCAACGGAGAAAGAGAAAGTCTGCAAATATCCATCGTTTGGTGTCTAAAACAGTGTTTCTCAACCCTGGTCTAAAATGTTCCGTTTCAGCAAGGCAGATGGGCAAAAGGCAGCAAACAGAGCTTGCACTTCCAACAAAACGTTGCTGCGAGTGTGAATCAGTACGATGAACTCGCTCACACCCTTCCCACATCCTTGGCGGGTTTGGGGTGTCCCCTCCCGTCTCTTCTTACCTTAGAGAGTTGCTCCTGGGTGACTGGGGCCATTGGTGTCCGCTTAAAGAAAGCGTCCCCGTGTCCAGTTCGCTCCGTGTCCAGGTGTCAATCTTCCACCGCTAAGCCGTGCAGATCGCCATGTGATCCCCTGCCAAGGACAGAGACAATGGCATGACCCCAATTGATTCTGGAGGCCCCTGACACGGTGGACTTTGGCACTGCACAGTCGGCATTGCAGAGACTCCAGGAGACCTGGTTTGGATTCATCTTGGACCCAGAACCAGGCGGTGGAGATTTGGGCACGCAGCTGAAAAGATTTCTACTCTTGCGTGTCATAAAAATAACTCAGCAGATTTTGTCGAGTAGGGTCAGTCTTTGATGAATATTACACTGAGCGGTCATCGCACAAGTTTAGTGATTTTCTTGGTCCCCTTCGACGTTATGCCTTCCGAAATGGTATTGCTGTTTTCAATAAATAAATAGGTTTTGAAAAAAGGAAAACTAATCTTGGACAAGGTGTCCACCTGAGATGATTCTTAATTCTCCCAACATTTCAGCAATTATTAGATCAGCATTTTTTATATTTGAGTGGGCTGGTATGCATCAATATAGAATTGTTTTGCAGCTGTAAAATTTTTGCCTTTTTATCTGCTTTGAATCTATTTCTGTATTTCTTGGGGGGGGTCCAACTTGCTTTTCACTCTGCTTAGCTTCCTTTTTATTTCCTTCTCTTTCTTGTTATCATCTTATTTATTTCCTTAGTCCCTGAAAGTCATGCTACTATCAAGACCAGGAGAGAGAGAGAGAGAAGAAAAAAACAGCATCAAAGATGTAATCGGCATTATTGTTTAAATCATGCCTTTTCCGTAATATAGAGGAGAGCTTATGTGGGTTTAAAAAATACAAAAAGCAGCCTGCACATTCCACTGGCTGACATTTCTTTGAATGGTGGAACCAACCCAGCAATTAAATTCATTGGCAAAAGTATAAATCAAGGACTTGAAAGAACTTCCTGAAATAAAATACTTCGGCTTAGCTGATGTGGAAACTCAGCTGTTGCGGTTCATACACCATGGTTCAGAGCTTAGTGTGTTTCATAAGCTTAAGCAATTGTGGTTTCTTCACTAGCATGGTTATATAAATCGTAATTTACCAAGAAGGCAAATACAGGTATTTTCTGCTTTTTTCCTCTATCTTCCCTTTCACAGCCCCCAAATGCTATTAGTGCATTGTGCAATTAAGGATATTATGCCCACCTACCACTTCTCTCCTTAAACATGTTTTTCCCCACCCCAGGGGCCCTCAAGATGTGTTGCACTTCAGTCCCCATAATCCTCAGCCAGTCCAGCCCCATGGGAATGAAAGAGGCTGCAGCTTGACGCAGATGCCGCTGGGGAGATCTGCTCTGGCAGACGGAATTGAAAACCCTTGTGAATATCGTAATCTATGATCCCAAAGTTTTCTTAGGCACGCACCCTGGTTTCATCATACCTGCAGGCTTTAAACACCCGAAACAGCCTGCTGGTTTTGAAATGCGGCCATTTCCACGTTCACAGGTTGCAGAATACAATTCTCGGGCTGCAGAAACCTTGGAGAACCACCAAAGGTTTGAAAGAACGTTGTGGGTCGTTTGAGTCTCCCTGCTTCTTGGACACCACCAAGTTGGACTCAACAACCCGTCAGGGAGTTGGCAAGCTGGGGAAAGCAGTTTACAATTGCCTAGTTGGCTGGGGATGATGGGAGTTGGAGTGCAGCACCACCCCAGGTTGGGCGAGGCCTTTCTCTGCCATCCTCCGGCGCGTCCCAGGCAACTGCTGATTGTCTGACTGCCCGTATTCCCCAAAGACTCGGGAGCATGGAGTACCGTGCCGCGTCTTGGTAGAGAGAGCCAAAGCTGAGCACATCGATCGACTCTTTTTCTCAGCAGCGCCGTTACCTTAATAGTATCTTTGCAGGAAGCTGATTTTGGTGAGCCCGTCGCCCTGCTGAGGATCTTCCAGGCAGCTGGAGGTGGAAAAGAAGAGGGAAGAACCAGTGTGGAGAAGGGAGTATTCAACGCTGGGACTTGTTTTTCTGCATTCCACAAGCTGAGATGGACAAAGAGCTGAGAGTGGGGAAGAGAGTTCTTTTCTCTGGAATTAACCACTTTTCTGTTGTTGTTTTAACTCAGTCCTTGTCAGCTCTCCAAGGTAGACCAGACTAGAAAACCAGTCATGCACGCTAACGCTACTTTTATTATAAGGTTAGAGTAACAGACTCTTGCAAGTCTGAAGGTGCTTCCCGCTCCCTCCCTCCCTCCATCTTTGTGAGAACTAGGGAGGGGCTTGTCTGAGATGCTTTCTCAGATTACAGCTCTGCTAGGGACTCAGATTTCTCTTATCTGACTGTTGTCTTGGTTGCAGCTCTTCTTCCTGTTCCTCAAGGTTATTACATTAAAGATAGATAAATAGATGATAGGCAGTCAGCCCTTCAAGGTAGACCAGACTAGGAAATCAAAGTCATGCACGCTAATAATACTTTTATTCCAAGGTTACAGTAACAGAATCTTGCAAGTCTGAACGCGCTTCCCCCTCCCTCCCTTATATCTATGTGAGAATTAGCCTCACCCTGTCTGAGATTACAATTGGATTACAGTTGGATCCTTGGATTACAGTTCTGCCCTGAACTCAGATTGCTTTTATCTGATAATTGTCTTGGTAGCAGCTCTTCTTTCCTATTCCTTAAGATTGTTCCTTCTGCCCATTATGGGTGGATAGATGGATAGGTGGAGGGGGGGGGAGAGAGAGAGTCAGCCCTTCATGGTAGACCAGATTAGGAAACCAAAGTCATGGAGGCCAATACTACTTTTACTGTAAAGCTATAATAATAGAAACTTGCAAGTCTGAATGCGCTTCCCCCTCCCTCCATCTTTGTGAGAATTAGGGAGCGGCTTGTCTGAGACGCTTCCTCAGATTACAGCTCTGCCCCAGACTCAGAGTTCTTTTATCTGACTGTTGTCTTGGTTGCAGTTCTTCCTCAAGGTTATTCCTTCTGCTCAAGAAAGTCCTGCTGTAGCGCCTTTAGTATCAGCTGAACCAAAGGGCATTAAGAATGTTAGAAATTAAAAATGCTTCCTCCATCTCCAGGGGATGAAGGCCTTTTCCCAATTCTTTTAAAATGATGGCGCAGTGCGGTAAAGAGAACTCATGGAAATACTGTAGGGCAGTTTCTCAACCTTAGCAACTAAGATGCGTGGACTTCAATTCCCAGAATTCTGGGAGTTGAAGTCCACATGTCTTAAAGTTGCCAAGGTTGAGAAACACAGGTTTGGTGGTTCAGTTCTTGTTTGTTCTCGGTATTACCAAACCACCCAACTACTCAGATTTGCACTGATCACTTATGTTTGTACTCACCCAGCACTCATTTATTTTTTACTCTCTCCCTTGTTTTACCACGCACACTGACGTACTCCACTCCTCCCGCATTCAAAATCTTTTCATATTTCTCCCATCAAAATACCCAACTCATTCTCAAAATAGACCAAAGCACAGCCATATTGGCTTCTGCGTTCATTCCTCATCACATTTTGCTTTTTTTTCACGTGCGCATCTTCAAATTGCTCTACCCATTTTCTCTTTTTAAAATAAACGTTCTACAAGGTGCACCAATTCATTTACTTATTACAGTTTTTTTCCATTTGCATATCACTTCTACTCCTTCACTGGTGGGGTGATGGTGGGGGTCACAATCCTTCACTTCACTTTCCCTATCCAACACAAATACCTTGGGTCCTTGACATATCTATTTTCAGATAGGTATGCCCCGTTGCATTATACAATCTATGTAACATTCGCTGCAAATTGTTTGCATTCTCAGCCAATATCTGCATGTGAAAATACACACAGATTCAGTGGAAAATGTAACGTTGACTCTTGGCTGACAATGTGACACTCCATGTCATTCTTTTGGAAGCAATACATTTGGGCTTGGCCACTACGGGGTGTTTTTCCAACATCTAGAGAATTCTAGAGTATTCCCATCTATGTATTAACCAGATCCAATCCTCTTCAGCTTATGATCATCAGCCAAGGTGCTACCCTCGAGCAGGGCTATGCTTTGCCAGGACTGGCACAATTTCCCCAAACTGTTTTGGGACACAGAGATGTGCGTTCTTCAGCTCAACCTAACGTAAAGCTGCTGGTGGTGCCTCCCCACTTAAACATGCCCCTACTTAAAACATGAGCATTTCATGGTAATATGGGCCTGTGTGTCATAATTTCCTCCATCAGCACCAAGTAAACTGCCTCCATTTTTTAAAACAATCTCTTTCTCTGCTTCTGACTTTCCGTAGGAACTCTGCAGCCCGAGAACTAGAGATTTTTTTGCGGCTCATATTAAACTCTGGTTTGTTAACCATGGTTTGTGGAAGCTACCCTGGCCTCATTCACACAACTCAAGACTCAAACCAGAGCTTACAAGCCCCAAAAGATGAATTCAAGCCAAAGTTAAGGAAGGCACAACGTGGTTTGCGGCATGCCCAACTGAGCACCGTTGTGCTGGCCTTCAGCTTCTGAAATACGACAAGCCCATCACGGATAAGAGCATCGGGGAAATCCGTGTCGTCCCCGGTCCATTTTTCTAGGACAGTCTCTTCCTGTGCAACACAGCCTAAAGCAGACCAAAGACTCCAGTTTTGTGCGGATTTCCATGTAGCTTTATTTTAAACATGAACAATGCCAGCGCCTGGGTAACATTGCTTTTCACGTGGTAGCATGGCTAGTGTGCAAAAATCCTTCCTATTACAGCGGACGGAGGCAGCAGGGAGCTCGCAAACGGCTTTGTCCTGTTTACTGCAGAAAAAAGGGGAGCCGGGAGAGGGAAGGGGGTCTGACACCCCTCCGGGATTTGGACAAGACTAACTTCCCAGCTGCAGAGGTGCCCGGATATGTGGCAACCAGCTTTGGCCACTCCACCCGCAGCCTCCCTTCTTCTCACAGAATCTGCACCTGAGCATTTCATTTTCAACCCAATGGGGAAGCTCCCTTCCCAACGCGGAATTTTATTTTAATATGTATATACGTTTTGGAACTGCACGTCCCGCAAGCCCCAGGCCTTCTGGATACGGTGGGACGGGGGCTCCATCCTGGCCGAGTTTTATTTCTCACCCACCTGGCAGGCGGGGTTTTCCAGTTGCAACAGGATGTAAAGTTTCGACCCCTTGGGGGGCCGGAGGGGTCAAAGCATCAGCTTTGCACTAGGACAGGCGTGCCGGGCGGCAGTGCAAATTCGACTCATTTCTCGCTTCCTTGCAGAACAGGCCTCCCCCCCTTTTGCAACAAGACCTCTTCCCACACCCCCTAACCCCTGCAGTGTTTTTTCTGCTGCTCCTTTTTAACCCCGAGGAGGGAATCAACCCCACTCGGTTCTCCGTTGACGAGCCGTTTGGCGCAGCGTCAAACCAGACAATAGAAGCAGAACTCCATCCCTTCTCGGAGGACAGTCAAGGCGCCGAAAACAAAAATAATAATAAAAAAAAAACAGGCCAGCTGTTATTCCAAACAAACAAACATAAAGAGAACAGGGAACATTGATGTAGTTTTAACTTCCTGGTAGCAGATTAAAGGGGGGGGGAAGTATACCGTATACATTAAGGGTTCTTTTTTAGAGTTCTGATCATTGGTGCCCACGTTCCTCTCCAATGGGAATTTCTCAACTGCAGCCATGTTTTAAGTCCTGTGTGCTATAAGGAATGTTATACGTCAGTTTAAAAATTAACAACGTCCCCTACCCACTCTCAACGTTTAATGTTTTTGCAACCGCGAAGACTTTTTCACCGGAAAAACACAGGCTGGCATTCTTCAGGTGGAAACGCCGTGATCTTCCATTCCAAAATTCCTGCCGTAGCCACCAAGATTTGGGGACCGCAGGAAAGTCCTAATTGGCGATCCCCGCGCAAGGGGAGAAGGGTTGAAGACACACTTTTGCAAAAGAGTCCCAAAGTAAAATACAAAATTTAAAAAAAAATGCCACCGTCGAAAAAAAATTAAGTCTGAATCTTCTCCTATCCACTCATCCGAGAGTAGCTGAGCATAATCATTGGAGCCAGGGCTGGACTTTGTGTGATGCATAGTCGGACAGTGGAACGCTGTTCCTGTCTTTGGATGGGGCAAAGTGTTCAGTTCCTGGACGGTGCCCGGGCACACGAAACAGCAGCAGGGTCAGGCTGTCTGCCCCAACACACAGCAGCGGGTCATCCTTCCGAGCACACCAGCCTCAGTCTCGTTTTCTCGCAGGGGCGGACCACGTCCCCACTGCCCGTCCCACAGAGAGCAACCATGCCACGATCCTTGCCCTGCCCCCCGAGTTCATTCTCCCCTCCTTTCTGAAGCAGCAGCCCGTCTCCTTCCCACCCACTCGTGGTAGTTCCTGGCCACAGCTCCTCTCCTTGGTTAAGTGTGTGTTTGCAGGAGCAGGGGGCCAGGGGACGGGGTCAGCCTGGGGTTCCCTGGCCCCCTTGGTCAGAGATCGGACATGGACCAGCCTGCAGCTCGAGGCGTCGCTTCCTCCTCCTCCTTTCAAGCTTGCTCTTTATCCGCCCGCCAGAGGCGCTCCTTCACCTCCAAAGGCAACGTGTTGAACAGGTCTTCCTCCACCACCAGCCCACTGCGTTTCAGCAAGGGGCAGTCCCCCAGCTCCACCGGCAGGCACTCCAAACGGTTCCCCCGCAGTTCGATCTGAGACAGGTTGGTCAACTCTCCCACCCGGGAGGGCAGGGACTGCAACACGTTGTTCCCCAGGTGCAAAGTCCGTAGCTTTCGGCACTGGAACAGCTCGGCGGGCAGAGCCTCGATCTGGTGGGAGAAAAGGGTGTGAGGGGGACGGATCAGAAAATCAGGCTGCGCTTGGACAAGACGCTAAGCTAGAAATTCTGATTTGCAAACAGAAATGATTAAGCTGGCAGAGGGCAAACTTTCTTCCTGCAGCAGGATATCTTTAGAATGGATACAGCCCATATTTTCCATTTGGGGTGGGGTAGGGTGGGAGACTTCAAGAGCAAAAGTGATGCCTTAAAGCTTACAAAAGCTTTAAGGCACCCACTGGAGCTGTTAAACTTCTGTCTCTCAAGGCACAAATGACCAGGCTCAAGTTATCCTACTCTGGACACATTATGCAAAGACCCAGCTCTCTGGAGAAGGCTCTGATGCTGGGAAGGGTGGAAGAAAACTGAAGAAGAGAACAACCAGCAGCAGGGTGGATGGACTCAGTTATAGTAGTAATGGAGGCACCATCGGAAGACCTGAAGGACCAGGCTGAGGATAGATCATCATGGAGAAAATCTATCTATGGGGTCGCTAAGAGTCAACAACAACTTGATGGCACGTAATCAATCAATTAATGGGAAGAAAGAGAAGAGGAAGACAACCAGCAGCAAGGTAGTTGGACTCAGTTACAATGACAAAGGGGGGCATGGTTGGAAGACTTGAAGGACCAGACTGGAGACAGATCCTCCTGGAGAAAATCTATCTATGGGGTCACTAAGAGTCAACAACAACTTGATGGCACGTAATCAACCAATTAATCAGTAAGAAGACAGAGGAAAAGAAGCTGACCAGCAGCAAGGTAGATGGACTCAATTACAGCAGTGATGGGTGCATTGTTGAAAGACCTGAAGGATGAGGTTGGGGACAGATCATCATGGAGAAAATCTATCCGTGTGGTCGCTAAGAGTCAACAAAAACTTGATGGCGCAAAATCAACCAGTCAATAGATGAACAATTAAGACAAAAATGTATTACTAATTTATCTGATCAGTAGCAAAGTGGGGCGACTCAGTTACAGTGGTGATGGGTCCGCTAATGGAAGACCTGAAGGACCAGGTTGGGGGCAGATCCTTCTGGAGAAAATCTATCTATGTGGCCGCTAAGAGTTAAGTCTGATTTGGGGGCACATAATCATTCACTCAACAGACACTTCCAGGGATTATGACCTACAAATATCCAGCTATTCTTTTTCATGGCAATTGGTGGTAGGTCAATTCTCCTGGAGCAAATGGTTTATGGGGCTTTCTAGCTGTAAGTCAGCAGCCAGGAGCTAGGTCACATCTGTAACTCCTTGGCCCTCCAGGGCTATTGCCAGTTTGGGACATTTCAGAGGCCGTGACCCAGATGTGCTTAGCCTTTAGTAGTAGTACTTAGCCTGTAGTAACATTTAGAGATCTTCTAAATGTTACTACCAAACAATATTTTTAACATCGCTGAAGGGACCGCTGACTTAACACACAACTGGGGAGATATGACATCTATCACATTACAATTTATTTCTTTTATTAGATTTATATGATTGTATTTTAAAAGTAAATTAAAAAAAACCCCTAAAGTTCATTCTTCTCCTGGCCTCTCTCATTTCTTTTTATTTTCCTTTACGAATATAATGAATATATACCTGGCTTTTACGCTTGCGACATTTAGAAAACACGGAATGCAGAATTTAGTATGGTTTAACAATCCTTTTGCCTGCTCTTGAAGGCCTTTTCCTTGTATTAAAAGCAACCCTTTTTTTTTTTTTTACAAGAACATCAGCTCTTAAAAACCATTATTTCTGTCTCCTCTTGAGAGAGACGCTTGATCTCTTGATCCTCTGCTCAGCATTGGCCGTGGGAGTCGGAAGGTAGGAGAAAATGTTCCCAAGCAAACAAACCAGCATAGAAAACAGGAAGAGCCTCAAGGGAGGGGAGAGAGGTAAAAGGGGGTTAATTAATCTATTGCTGCTTTGTTTGTCATAGAGTTAATGAGATCAACACATCATTTCTGGGAGCCACAACAGAAACCCTCCCGGAGGACGATCTTATCCTAACCACCAGCTTGGATTTTACCAAGGAGAAATGAGCATTTGGCTAAATTCTGCACCTGAAGAAAAACAAGAGTTTAGGAAAGGGACAGAATTAAGCAAAGCAGATTTGACAGCCCCCCCCTAAATATGTTCGTGATGAAACCTCAGACTTTGCAAACTTTTTAAATGTTCCGGCAGGGAATCGCCGAAGCAGAAGTTCAGGAAGGGAAACGGGTGGGCGAGAGATGCATTTTTCAGACTGTGTCTGAAGGAGGAGCGAAGGAAAACATCCACAGGGCATCTTAGTAACCGGAGTTCATAAATCAGGGTAATTGAGTTACGGCGGGGAGTGGAAGAAGAAAGCGAGCTGACTTTGACGTCTGAGTTTCAAGGGCTTCTCGCTTGCTTCCTTTAAAAAGGAAAAAAAATTCCGTCGCCCCAAGTGTTTGTGCTTAAAAACGGTCGGACCAACAACTCTTCATTTGCAAGTCTTGGGGTTTCTTCCAGTTTCAGTATCCCGTTTTTAAAAGCAAAAGTTTATATCAATAAACATAATAATAAGAAAGAAGCAACAGAGTACTTTAGGGTGGTGGTTCTTAAACTTTGGAGGTTTATTGTGCGGGGGGGGCGCACAACCCACCATTTCCCCAACCCCCCGACCCGTCGCGGGGGGATGGGGGGGTGGGG